GCTTTCTGGAGACGTTCAGACCAAAGCCAGACACCCATTCTGTTTTGCCAACTCTGCGGAATGGGGGGGGGTGGCAGAGAAGTGGGAGTCTTGGGATTTGCTGAGGTGACTGTACAGGGGGTAATTTCATTCATTAGGCTTGGAATTGAACAAGAGAGTTTGAGGTCAGGGTGGCAGTAATAGAGAGCGAGGTTAGTTTTACATATGCTGCATCTGGTAGACCCAGAGATGATCCAGAGATACTCTGTAAATGGTCTGAACTCAAAAGAAGGGTCGAGGCTGGGTATCACCTCAGTGTTTGTGTCCTTAGAGTATAGGTCGAAGCTATGGATGTAGAAGCTGCCAAGAGAAGGTCTGAGGAGGATGAGGGACCCAGATGGGTAAGGAAAGAAGACCCTGAGAGATAGCACAAGAAGGAACAACAAAAAGTGAAGGGTTGGGCCAGCTGGTAGCATGGTGGGTAAGGCACTGGATCGCACATGGCTGACTGCACAGTTTGAGTCCCAGACCTAATGGCCTGAGAGGAGGATAGGGAAGGGATTGTGGCATGGTCATCCCACTAGGGGGTGCTTTCTCTGTTTCTCTCTCCCATTCTCTCTCTCATGAATACACATGACCTATGGCCAAAAAAAAAGGGGAGAGGTAGGTTAAACTAAAAGATACTAGATCAGAGAAGCTAAAGGAAAAGGTGTCCAAGACCTTAGAATGCCCCAATTCAAATTAGCCATAAAGCCATGCTTTGCATTGGGCAGTTAGGGAAGAAGAGCTTGGGGTTTGGGATGAGCGTCCTTTCAGCAATGGAGTGCAGGCAGCAGCCACACCCCAGTGACCTTAGAGCAAGTAGGGGTGATGAAGTGGGAAACCTGATGAGGCTGGCAGTGACTGGAAGCCAGAAGGTGGGTAGAGAGAGAGATGAGGATTGAAGAGGGCAAGATCCATGTGCTTAAGGTAGGGAACTCTGGTGTATGCTCCTGTAAAAAGGGAAGCAAGAAAAAGCATGAAGTATGAAGAAGCAGAGGACAAGTCCCAGTAGAGGTACCTAACTTTGAACAGAAGGAGGAGAGCCCTGAGATGGGAGAGGAGATGGGAATGCTTCACACAGGTGGAAGTATGTTTGGACAGATGCCATTGTAGGAAGCCCTAGCCATGCCACTAGAAGGACTCTGAAAGGTTGGAAGACTTTCTTTTTTAAAGAATTATTTATTTTCTTTATTTATTCATTTATTTTAATTTGACCAGAGAGAGAGAGAGAAAGAGAGAGAGAAAGTGAGAAAGCAAGCCACTAGGTCTGGGACTCGGACTCTGGTTGGCCATGTGGGAGTGTCCAGCACTTTAACCACCACACCACCTGCTGGTCCCAAGATTGAAGACTTCCTAGTTCATACTGTACTTAAACACAATAAAGTTATATAACTACCGTACACTTTATCCATCCTTTTTGCATGCAGAAAACAGTTCTTGTCTGTGTATTCTCATCAGAATTTGCAAAATGGTAACCCCCACCCTGTCCCTTATGGAAAAGAACTGGAAAGAGAGTTGGGGTGATAAATATGTATGTATATATCTCAGTTCTCTTTAGTCGCAGACCACTAGGAACATGCCTATAGTTGAACGAGTGGGTGAGGAAGAACACACATTATAGGCTACCAGGGGTGTGGCAGTAAAAGGATGTTAGAACCTTTCATAGGAGTTGGGCTTTGGTTGGGTAATTTTTAAGAGGTCTAAGGGAGCAGGGACTTACTTTATGTTGGGTACCAACAGAAGGTAGGAAAATTATTTTATTTTCAATATTGCCAGAAGGTACATATACTTGACAGACAGAGACAGGTGGGGGCAGGGTGGGAAAGCACCCCCCCCATAGGAAATGATCACACCACAATCCCTTCTCTATTCCCCACTCCTCTTGGGATTTTGGGCATGACTCACATGCTCCCAGCGTGTTTTTTTGTTTGTTTGTTTGTTTGTTTTTCTTTTTTTTCGGAGAAGTTTTCACTATAGGGCGTGTGCACTCGCCAGACAGAGAGAGACAGACAGAAAGTGAGAAATCACCCCCCAGGGGGGATGACCATGCCACAACCCCTTCTCCTCCATTCTCCTCTCGGGATCCTGGGCACTCATGCACATGTGCCTGGCGTGAGTTTAAGCCACCGAGTCCAGGACTCGAACTGCGGTCAACTTCGTGGGAGTCCAGCGACATAGCCATTACGCTAACTGCTGGTCCCCCAGCGTGTTTTTAAAACTGTCAGATTTAGGACTTGAACCACGGGGTTGGTCAGATGATATTATAATGAAATTCAGGTCTAGCTGAGAAGGGTCTGTTCTAGATTTTGGGGACTGCTCTGTTTTCCATGTCTATATATGAAACAAATATATCTATATTATACACATACTTATCTCCTACTGTAATTCTAATTTTTAATGAATTTTTAATTTTGCTGACTATAAATTTTTTTCATACTGTATTCAGTTTTATTAAAAATACTTTTAAAAATACTTTTTTTCCCTTTTTTTTTTTTCTATAGATTTTTTCTAGAGATTTTTGCTATAGGGTGCACGAGCTCACCAGAGAGACAGAGAGTGAGAAATCACCCCTCTCAGGAGGGAATGGCCACACCACAATCCTTTCTCCTCCATTCTCCTCTCTGGATTTTGGGTACACAGGCACACACACCTGGTGTGAGTTTTAAGTCGTCAGGTCCGGGACTTGAACTGCAGTTGACTTCATTGGAGTCCAGTGACATAACCATTACGCCATCTGCTGGTCCCATGTTAAAGATTGTTTTCATAAACAATCATGGTATTTCAGACAGGATATGGGCAGTCATTAACGAATGAAGGGGATTTCTTTACCTATTTCATTCTGACATTCTGAATGCAGTCAAGACTCAAAATGCAGCCAAACTGAAAATGCACATTTCTGGGCTGATATGTCCGCAGTGTAGGGACTGACTGATCAAGACAATCTGATACGTTAAATTTTCTCTTGTTTGATTTCTTTTCAGCATTGTTTTTTCTTTTTATATTGGGAAAGCTTTCTCCTCAGTGGACTTCTCCCTACCCTTTAAAAAAATATGTATTTTATCTTACTAAGACTCTTTTGTTCCTTCCATCTTATATTTTAGATACAACATAAAATTACATTTTTATCATAGATAAAAATACTAAGAGCTTTTTGAGGTGAGAGTTCTATTTATAAAATTAAAACCATAATTTGTTTATTTTTGTCCAATCATATACATACATGGGACATACAGTTGTATCTTCTTAAGTTGATACCTATTTTTCAAATAAGGTGCCATTTTCCTAGATGATCATGCTGTGAAAATGATTTCGGTAGACCTACAGAGACGCAGAGTTTCTAAGTGGTAGTGGGGTGTTAGATTTCAGATAGTGGTGTAGACACAGTGTCAAAGCCTGGGTTGGTTCCCTGATTATCCTGGGCAGTGTTCTAGTTATACTTTTAAGTAGAAGACATCGTTCTCCTTTTTAAATCCTTCTCGTCTGCCTGATCCATTATTGAACTATTCATATCCCTTTGGGAGTCTCTAAAGTTCTTCTTTAATCAGAATTTTAAGAACATCATGTTAATAGTTAAATATAATATTGATAATAATAGATTTTCTTCAGGAATTCTCTTTCACTATGTTTTGTTTTAGGCATCCACAATGCTTAAGACCCATCTAATGTAATTATTATATTAAGAATGAGTCTATTATACTGACAATATAAAAAAAAATAGTGGATTCTTTATGAGTTACAAGATACTTCAGAGAAGCAAAGTCTAACTCTCTCACCTAGTATGTCAAAAAATCAAGATTAGAACTAGATGACTTTTGAGTTTCCAGAAAGAAAAAATATGGTATCTCATTGAATTGATAAACTAATTGGCAAAAGGTGTAGGTTTTATGTTGTAATTAATAAAAAACAAGCTGAAGATTTCATGAGTAATGGACACATCACTTAATATCCTTTCCTACGTAAGTATACAAAGAAAAGGATATGTTTTTAAACTTACTAGTTATTTTGCATTTACATTCTTTCATTAAAACAAATGCCTAAGTCCTAGTTCTCTGAAGTACCAAAACTCTTCCTTCATTTTTATGGTGCTTTGTTAAATGAATCAGTAATTCTTTTTCTTTTTTTTGGAGAGCTTTTTGCTACAGGACGCATGCGCTCACCAGAGAGACAGAGAGAGACATGGAGGACAGAGAGTCAGAAAGTGAGAAATCACCCCCCAGGGGGGATGGCCATACCACAATCCCTTCTCCTCCATTCTCCTCTCAGGATCTTGGGCACGCATGCACATGCACCCAGTGTGAGTTTAAGCCACCGGGTGCAGGACTTGAACCGTGGTCGACTACATGCGAGTTCAGCGACACAGCCATTATGCTAACTGATGGTCCCATAAATCAGTAATTCTAAAACTGAGTAAAGTTTAGTCATGTATGTGAAGATACTGTGATTATTAATTGATTAGGACAGACATGCATAATTGGAAGAAGGAAAATAGTTTCACTTTTATATGAATACATTATTTTGTGATGTAATTGTCTCTGTTGGTTTATTTTTCTTTGTATTTTTTTTTTTTTTTGGTGTGGTTTTTGCTAAGTGAATTAATAGGCCTTTGGAACTAGGCAGTGCTTTAGAATTCAGCTGACTTGGTTATTTCACTCTGGATGATGATACTGAGAACGAACACATGGAGAAATAAATGAGCTAAGGTGACGGATTTGGTCAAAGTAAAGCCCTGGTCTCACTCTATTCTCTTCGCCCAGAGCTCTCCACTCTGTGATCCATGTTATTCTCTCAACACCAATAGAGACTCTGTTTAAGGGCAGAGGAGGTGGGAGGATGCCAAAGGAGAAGGTGCATGGCTCATTTTGGTGACCCTGTTAAATTTAGGCGTTCACTTACTGGGACTCCGGCACCTGTTCTTCAGATAAAATGCTTCCACAGTGAGCATCATCATGCTAATAAAATGAATGTTTTTTGCTTTTTAGGTGAGAGTTACGTGTGTGCATCCAACGAACCATTTCGTAAAGTCGATTACACCAAAAATATCAATCCGAACTGGTCTGTGAACATCAAGGGGGGGACCCCCCGAGCCTTGGCCTCCTCCTCCTCCGTGAAAAGCGAAGTCAAAGAAAGCAAAGATTTCATCAAACCCAAGTTGGTGACTGTGATCCGAAGTGGAGTGAAGCCCAGAAAAGCCGTGAGGATCCTTCTGAATAAAAAGACTGCTCATTCCTTTGAGCAGGTCTTAACAGATATCACCGAAGCCATTAAACTCGACTCAGGGGTGGTCAAGAGGCTCTGCACCCTGGATGGAAAGCAGGTAAGATGCTTCCAGCCCCCAGCTCCCTCTCGCTTTGCTGTGCCCTGTACCCTGTGACACAGACGAAAGTGGGAGTTATTAGTCTGCTGGAAACTGCTCAGTCAGTCCTGCTGGAGGAGAGAGAGAGAAAGAGAAAGAGAGAGTGTGTGTGTGCGTGTGTGTTTGTGTGTGTACATGCACGTGCACTTGTGCTTTATCAAGAAGAACGTAAGTGACTTCCATTTCCCCAAATACCTCAATAATAAATATATGAGAAGTTTATTATACTGTTTTCGGTTATCGAAAGGGATAAATCTGGGACCAGCACATGGCATAATGGTTACATCGCTGGACTCCCACGTAGTTGACTGTAGTTCAAGTCC